ACCGGAGTAGTGAGTAGAGCTTTCTCCAGACCCCGGCTGCGACGGCGCATCTCAAAACGTCTCTCTACCCGAATGGCCAAGTCAATAAGAGGGTCCAGTCGAGTCGGTGTCTCCCGGGCAAGTATCTCGTCCTTAATGTCCGCATTGAGCCCCTCGAGGAAGCGGGCAACTAGGGCTGGCTCGTTCCAGTCGCAAGAAGCAGATAGAGTGCGAAACTCAATCGAGAAATCTGCTGCTGACCTTCTTCCTTGGCGCAGCGTAGCCATGAGACGAGAAGCCTCCGCCCCATATGCAGAGCGGTCAAACACCCTCAACATCTCCTCCTTGAAAGCGGAATAGCGGCGAAGACATTCAGCCTCCGAAGTCCACATTGCGGTTCCCCACTCCCGCGCTCGGCCAGTCAGCAAGGAGACGACAAAGGCAATGCGGGAACGATCAGTAGCGTAAGTGGAGGTCTGCAGAGAAAAGACAACCTCACACTGAGTCAAAAAGGCCCTGCACTCCTTGGGCTCACCGGAATAACACGGCGGGATGTTTACTCTAGGCTCAGGCGTATCCCGTCCTCGAGAAGAGGAAGGATCAGTGCGGAGATGCTGGAGCTGCTGGACAATGTCGGTGACACGAGTCGCCAGAGAATCCATGGCATGGTGCGTTGCAGCCAGCTCATCCTCATGTCGGCCCAGCATGGCTCCCTGGAGCTCGAGCGCGGTCTGAAGTGAATTCTCCCTCGCTGGGTCCATTGCTGGTCAGATTATTCTGTCACGTAAGAGAAAGAGGACCCAAAAGCAAAGGACAGTCAATGAGTGATTTAATGTTCAGAAGAGTAACACAGGAGCCGTAAGGCGAGTAAATCCAACACAGGAATCTCAATGGTAATGGAACAGAAAGTCTCTTAATAACAGAACAGAAAACTGCCGTCTGGATCAGCACGGACGGTCACTCAGAGGACGAGACAGACTGGGTCCGTAGAGGCACGGGAACGCCAATCCTGAACCACTCACGATGCTGGAAGGGTAGCAGAGTAGAGTCGAGGTAATACAGAGAACGGAACAGCTTGGATCAGACAGGACACGACACGACAGGGTCAGGAGCGATATGCACAGGTACGTAACATAGAGCAATAATCTGACAAAGAACAATAAGAGAGAAGCCATGAAATAGAGAGTCTAATCAGAGATAGTGAGAAACAGTTGGGAAGGTAACGAGGAGGTAATGAGAGGATGAGCCACAGCTGGAGGTGACCGGGATAATGAATGAGTGATGCAAGTAATGTAATGTAAGATAGTGGCCAGAAGGGGGCAGAGAAAGACCAGAGAAAGAAAGAAAGAGCCAGGATCATGACAATCTCTCCTGCAGTTGAAGCTAGAGCTGTGTCTGTCAAGAAGAGATGCTTAAATTAAAACACTGGTGTGCTATTTATGAAGGCTATATCTTTAAAACCAAGCATATCTGCCGACTCTGTTGATTTTCTCCTTGATTCTTTCAACTCAAAAATTAAGAGTGTAATTGATGATATTGCTCCTGTGAAAGTCAGGAAGAATAGTAGACAAAAAGCACCTTGGAGAAACTCAACAGCTGTGCAAAATATGAAAAGACAATGCAGAAGAGCAGAACGCATGTGGCGGAAGACAAAACTTGTAGTCCATTATAACATCTACAAAGACAGCATCCATGCTTTTAATAGGGAACTAGGCAAAGCCAGACAGACTTTCTTCTCAAATATTATAAACAGCAATATAAACAACACACACACTCTTTTTGTGTGCATCCACCTGCGCCTTTGACGCACTTCCCACATCTTTTTTCAAAAGTGTGTTAAACTGTTTAGAAGCAGATCTCCTAGAAGTGGTAAATGCCTCACTTCGCTCTGGGAGTTTTCCGAACTCCCTGAAAACTGCAGTTGTCAAGCCCCTCCTGAAAAAGAGCAATCTGGATAAGACCATCTTGAGCAATTATAGACCGATCTCAAATCTTCCTTTCATAGGCAAGATCATTGAAAAGGTTGTCTTCAATCAGCTGAACAAATTTTTAAGCTTAAATGGATATTTTGACAATTTTCAATCTGGTTTCCGATCGCATCACAGCACTGAGACAGCGCTCATAAAGATAATAAACGATATTCGCTTAAATACTGATACAGGCAAATTATCCGTGTTGGTACTACTCGACCTCAGTGCTGCATTTGACACTGTTGATCACAACATACTTCTTGACAGGCTGGAAAACTGGGTGGGGCTTTCTGAAATAGTCCTAAAATGGTTCAGGTCATACTTAGAAGGGAGAGGTTATTATGTGAGTATAGGAGACCATAAGTCTGAGTGGACATCCATGACTTGCGGAGTCCCTCAGGGCTCGATTCTTGCGCCACTCCTGTTCAACCCGTATATGCTCCCAATGAGCCAAATAATGAAAAAGAACCAAATCGCTTACCACAGCTACGCAGACGACACACAGCTCTACTTAGCCCTATCACCAAACGACTACAGCCCCATTGACTCCCTGTGCAAATGCATTGATGAAGTAAACGGTTGGATGTGTCAAAACTTTCTTCAGTTAAACAAGGACAAAACTGAAGTCATTGTGTTTGGAAACAAAGAAGTTCTCAAGGTGAATGCATACCTTGACGCTAGGGGTCTAAAAACTAAAAATCAAGTCAGGAATCTTGGTGTGTCACTAGAGTCAGACCTTAGTTTCAATAGTCATGTCAAAGCAATAACTAAATCAGCATACTATCATCTGAAAAATATTTCAAGAATTAGATGCTTTGTTTCCAGTAAAGACTTAGAGAAACTTGTGCATGCTTTCATCACCAGCAGGGTGGATTACTGTAATGGCCTCCTCACTGGCCTTCCTAAAAACACCATAAGACAGTTGCAGCTCATACAGAACGCTGCTGCCAGGATTCTGAGCAGGACCAGAAAATATGAACACATCACACCAGTCCTCAGGTCTTTACACTGGCTCCCAGTTACATTTAGGATTGATTTTAAAGTATTATTACTGGTATATAAATCATTCAATGGGTTAGGACCTCAATATATTGCAGATATGCTCACTGAATATAAACCCAACAGATCACTCAGATCACTAGGATCACATCAGCTAGAAATACCAAGGGTTCACTCTAAGCATGGAGAGTCTGCTTTTAGCTATTATGCTGAACCAGCTTCCAGAAGAGATCAGGTGTGCTCCTACAGTAATCACATTCAAATCCAGACTCAAAACACATCTGTTTAGCTGTGCATTTACTGAATGAGCACTGTGCCACTGTTCGTCCGACTGTTACTGCACTTCATTTTATTATTCAAAACTGTTTTAATTCATCTTATTTGTTTTTGATTATTTTAATTTCTTCTATGTAAAGCACTTTGAATTACCATTGTGTATGAAATGTGCTATATAAATAAACTCGCCTCGCCATTGATAGAGCCTGGCCCTGTGGACGAAACTCATTGGTGATTAGCCTGTATATACTATCAAGCAGATCCTGGACTCACAAAGCTGCTGGGGAGAGCATACCTCATTGACTGGGAGGAATATTGCCCAGTGGAGAGATGTTAGATTTCCAGAGACAACCTTCTAGATCCTGTTATCCTCACAGAATTCTATCAGTAACATCACCAGTGTCCAGCACCATGCAGACGAAGGCGAACACAGCGTCAAAATCATCAGACCCCCAGGAGCGGACCATGGAGGGGAGGGTTAATGCCACGGTCATACCAGGCTCCACAGCCACACGCACACACGAACAATGCTCACTCTCCTCTGAGGTCTGATCACCAGCACCTGTCCCTCATCATCACATTATTAAGTGCCAGTATTTAAGCATATACCTCTTATTCACTCGTAGGGCCCTCATTTATCAAAAGTGCGTACACCAAATTTCCAGCGTACACCTGGCATACACCCAAAACCACGGTGAGTTTGAGATTTATCAATATGGACGTGGGCATACGGCACGCTCGAATCCTACACCAGCTCAGGAGGTGGTGTACGCACGTTTGAGTTAGTGCGGAAATGTGCAGAAAAGTTCCTAACACCACAAAACGCACTTACAAACTAAGAGATATGATATATTATGACCCACTGTAAAAAACAACAACAACAAAACAACAACAACATAGTAATTATAAACTTCAGTGTTTATTTTTGTGCAACATGGACTTCAATGTTTAATTTCTGTGACTTTACTAAAGCATTTGATGTGTAAGCATAGTATTCCGAACACTGGGTTCGGTAATGAAAGGCTTTCAATGACCAAAAAATTATTCAGACTGACAAAATATTAAAAAATACATTTTTTCTTCTTTTAAATAAACTATTATACATGTTACGTGATTTGAAATTGAATGCTAATTCAAAAGACGTGCTTTAAAATAATGCATTGTGGTCTCTTAGTTGCCGTCTTCTGTGTGTCCATGGCGTAAAATGAGGGCGTGGGGGGAGCGGAGACTTGAATATTTGGAGGCGTGTTATCCTAATGACGATCGTTTTCAGCCGCGGGATTTATCAAGGGCAGGCATTGCGTACACCTGGATTTCAAAGGTACACACATCTTCATAAATCAGGCGGTGAGAGGAGTGTAAGCATAATCTTACACCAACATATACACCCATTTCTACGCAAGAATGATAAATGAGGGCCACTGTCTGGACTTCTCTGGAATCCTTACTCACCTTATGATTCAGCTAGTAATGTTATATTCTGGTATATTCTAACAATAACATAATTTTTTATGTTAATTTTTTATGTTTTTAAGTCCTGTCAGCTGCTCTTGATTTCAGATTTTACTTTCAAAACAATTGTACACTGTATAAACTGTATAAATACACTGTATAATGTATAAAATACATTAACACAATTACAGCCACATATTTTTCAATTCATATAAGAGCATGGAAACTTGTTAACAAAGATATTGTCAATCCAAATATATCTGCTGAAGATTAATTTAGTATGTCCACCTGTCTGGTGGAAAAATACCAGAATGACACACTCACCCCAGTTTCTCCAGTTTGCACTGTGGATCTTCTAGAAGATCTGAAAGGTGCCTCGTTCCTGAATCTGTAAAGTAATTCTCACTCAGGTCCAGTTCTCTCAGATGAGACGGGTTTGATTTCAGAGCTGAACTCAGAACAGCACAAGCTTCCTTTTTAATTCGGCAATATCTCAACCTGTGAACGTGGGATATTTTATGAGAATCAGAAAAAATATGCACAGTAACAACTGGGCTTTACAATAATAAGAGTCAGTTATAAGTTGGTTTAAGTTAACCTGCAACAAACTGTTAATCAGTTTAATTCTCAAATCTAGTTTCTCTGTTGAACCTGTCTGTTCTTTAAGAACAAATTTCTTTAAGTTGATTCCATCTAATCTCTGACAGGCTCTGAAGTCCTCTTGATTAATCATTAACACACTCACCACAGTTTCTCCAGTTTACACTGAGGATCTTTTAGTAGATCTGAAAGCTGTTTCATTTCTGATTCTGTAATGTTATTTTCACTCAGGTCCAGTTCTCTCAGATGAGACGGGCTTGATCTCAGAGCTGAACTCAGAAAAGCACAGCCTTTGTCACTGATATAACAATATCTCAACCTGTGAATGTGAGAAATACATAAGCTTTTTTCAGTCACAATACAGTGAGAATCAGATCATTAGACATTAAAACACAATCATTACTGGGCTCTTAGCAACAGAGAGACATCAACTCTAAAGGGTGTCCTATATATGTCTGTGTGCTTGTAATCGAGTGTCTTTTATCATGCTTTCTATGATATTGTTGAATACCAAAATAGTAGACAACGTAATTGATATCTTATTTCAAAATCTTCTTATCAGTGCAAAAGAGACTCAAAATATTCCTTTGATTTTGGTCATAGAGATAAGTGTTATACAACATTCGAAACCAAGTGTCTACTTTTATTGGTGTACACTCACAAAATAAAGAAAACAAATTATTCATGTTCTGCTATCACTCTCTGTCAGTGAAGTTCATTCTGAAATGCGTCAGAAAATGAACTGTAACTCAGTGAATACTTGCCACACTGATATGAGAGATATGTCTTTAGAAGGGTGTGTAAGTAATGTGACCACACCCACACACGCTACACAAGCGATTCACATGCTATTCACCACGCTAACCTGTAAACGCCCCATCACCTTGATAAACAACCCATCAAACTTCATCATTCTTTTGTTTTTCATCGAGTTTGGTAAACATGATGTGAGTTTCCCTCAGAAGAAGAGGAACACGATTGATAAAGCTGAGGAAATGAATTTATGCTCACTTACAGTATTATATCTTACATCTCATAATTACATTATGTGTATGAATTGGTCTTTTGGGCTTGATTGTACTTGTTTTAACTTTTATTGTCCAAAAAATGTTATATTGTTGCATAAACCCCATATTACATTGTAGCCTACTAGTTGAACTATTGCAGACTGAAATGTAAGCTTGGCATTGAGAAAGGTCACATGTGACCAAAATGTTTTTAAGGGCTCTTGTCTTTGGTGGAGTGTGCGGGCTCTTTAAAGTGCCTCTCAATTTGTCTATGCACCTCATATGGGCTAATTTTAATTTTTGGTGCAATCTGAGGTCATAGTCGTCCATACCAGGCAGAGGGTCAAGCACATGCAATCAGTCCGAACACAATCCACAGAGGCAGACAAGAACAAGAAATCCAAAACTCAGGAATAGATAAATATAAATGAAACAGGAACTGCTCGAAATGGTAGCAGAGAGTATCAATCAAAACAAACAAACAAACAGTCGTTCACTGACTAGTGCAGTCGTTAGGATACAGTGTAAAAAGGCCTGGACAGCTGACACAGCCCTGAGGCACACCAGTGCTGATTGGCCTATAGGCGCCGTAAGAGCATTATTTACTCTAACCTGTTGAGTATGGTTTGTTAAAAAGAAAAAGGACCAGTTGAGAATAAAGGAGTTAACATTCATATCTTTCAGTTTCTGGATGAGCATGTGAGGCTTCAACGTATTAAAAGCCGAACTAAAATCAACAAACAAAATACGTGCATAGGCCTTGGGGTCCTCCAGGTGTTTACTGACCAGATGTGAAATTCTGTTAATAGCATCATCTGTGCCAGGCCCCTGCCTGTAAGCAAACTGAAACAGATCTAAGAACACAACAACATCTTACTTAAGAAATTACACCATTATCCTCTCAAAACATTTCATAACAATAGAAGCCAGTGCCACAGGTATATTATATATTAGATATTAAAATGTTTAGATCAGCGTTTCCCAACCAGGGTGAGAGTAGGGGTGCCGTGTAAAAAAATCCATCAAACATTTTTAATATTGCTAAATATATATATATATATATATATATATATATATATATATATATTAGGGCTTTCAAACGATTAATCGCATCCAAAATAAAAGTTTGTGTTTACATAATATATGTGGGTGCACTCAGGGGCAGAGCTACATGGTGGCCAGGGGGGGCCACGGCCACCATTGGTCAAGGCTCAGCCCCCCTGCATTCTTAATGTGTAAGAATGTGTCGTCGACATAGAGTGAGTTTAGTGAAGCAGCGCCGCTGCGGTTATTTTTGCAAACTTGTATGATTATCTGGCTGGCTAGCGCTAGACAGTTAGCTTAAGTCAATTCCAATGTGTCACTTAGGGTACAGGCACTAACTGAAGCGTTCCGTTCACGACGACACGTAAAATCCCTTTTAGACTAATCTGGTCTATTTTTTTCCTTCAAACGCACGTGCTGGCGCTGCAATCACGTCTAGTGTAACCTAGCTACTTCCATTGCCCACATGGAAAAAACCTATATAAACATATATGTTTTAATATAGGTTTTGATATATGTTTTTAATATATGTGACATATATAAAATTGGCCGTTTTCCTATATTATATGTACATATATGCACATATATGTACATATATACGTGCATATATGTACACATATATACGCACCTATATAGGTACATGTATGCACACATATATGTACACATATAGGTGCATATATGAACATGTATGCACGCATATATGTACACATATAGGTGCATATATTTGTGCATATATGAACCTATATATGTACATGTATGCATGCATATATGTACACATATACATGCATACATGTACCTATATAAGTACATGTATGTACGCATATATGTGCACATATAGGTGCATTTATACATGCACCAACATGTTTACCTATATTAGAATAATTATTAAAATCCATAGCTACTAGGCAACATAAATAATAGTCCAAAATGTATGCATTTAGATTATTTATTTACTTAAGATCAAATAGTACAAAAACAAAAATAAGACAAAAAAACTGGATAGAAAAAAAATCTTTTTGATCTTCTCAGCTCCATGAGCTTTGAATTGATAGACGTGCCCACCTCCCCTCGGCTGGCTGACGGCCACTTCTTCAATGTAGCATCTAGAGAAGACAAAAATAATAAGACACTATAATAATAATAATAAGAAGAAGAAGAAGAAGAATATAGTACTTCATCAGGAACCCAAAGTGCTTACAGTACAGATGTGATCGGACACATATTTTTTGATAAAAGGTTGATCATTTTAAAAAATGCGTCATGTAAACATGTCAATTGGAAGATTCTGAAGATTCTGAAAAATCTGAAACGTGGCTTAAGAAAAGGAAAGTTAGGATCAAGAACTGAGCAAGAGATGAATTAGTATTATAGGTTCCAAGTAGATATAGTAACAATAATCCCTTATACAGTCTCAATTGATGCCTAATAAACATTGATACAAGTAGGCTATGGTTAAAGTGGTGAACTTATAAAATCCTAATGCGTTGAGAAGGGAAAACAAAACTTTTATACATTTACTCACCAATAATGATGCCTTTTTAATTTGGTCAAGGGCGACCAGCTGCTCCCCATCCCCTCTGGTTGGCTTCCCACCTTAAGTAAAATTTCAAAATTATTATAAAAGGGGGTTAAAATGAAGCTTGTGAAAGCAATACTTTTTTTATATACACATCACATTTTCTTGAGGTGCAAGGAAATACAAAAATGGCAAGTAAAAAAGCGATGGTATGCCCGCACACAAACATAATTTATTCCACAGAATATTAATTGTTTTTTACGGACAGAAGAGATTAGGAGAATAATTTGTACCATTCAGGTTGTTTTTCAGCAAAGTCTCCAGATCAAATGTGCCCAGCAGCAGATTCCACACCATGGCAGTAGCAGAGGTGGCAAGGAGGGCTGCTTTCCACACTTCTGCCTGGCAAAACACCCCAGAGCCCTTTATAACTTCAATCTGAAAAATAATTTATTCATTTATTGGCATTGTTTCATATTGATTCTTATCCTTAGCTTCCCAATAGTTTATATGTTTTTATGTATGAATGCAGATTAATGATAAAGAAACAAAATAATAATATTACACAAAATAATAATATGAAACAAATTAATAATTGCCCTTAATGTTCTTAAAGGAGAGGAGGAGGAGGATAGGGTGTCGGGGTGGGGATGGGGATATTTATTAATAAATAAATAAAAATTCAAGGGGGTTACTCACCGGTTGCACTTTTCAAAAGAGGAGGAATCTAAATCCTCAACAGGACTCCTTCCAGTCTTGTTCATAGAAGAAAAATAAAAGTTATTCTCTTCAATAAATTAAAGTGCAAATAACTTAAATCAAATAATTAACACTATCAATCAGCCCAACATCATAAGTCTCTACAGCTCTGCTAAAGGAACCATTTTAAAAAGCAAAATCAGAGGAACTTACCTTTTTGAGCAATAATGGCGAGGTAACTTTTCATTTGAGGTAATTCTAGAAAGAGGTTATATAAAGAAAAAAAAAACAATTACAATCACTTAATCAAAATAGTAATGCCCTAACGTTAATGTTTACTATTTGAAAGACATTTCCTGCAACTGTAAAGGCAAGCCCATTGATACGGCTCTTTCTTTCACCAATTTCGACCAAATTCAAACTCCACAGGTATTTTTTTTTTTTTTTTCTGGAGCCGATTGCCTTCTTGAGCCGTTGGCAGAGAAGTATCATTTATTCTCATGACGTTATGTTCTCTAGGCCATGACTTTTGTTAACCCTCTACGAATTCCTCCAGAAAGAAACAAATAAATACACGTTAATTCTGAATTGAATCTTATCAACGGCTAAGTTATTTTAGCACCCACAGTAACGTTATGTTACCTCACCAGCTAACAACATAGGAAGTGTATGGGCTGAAACAGGTGTGTTTGGTAAAAAATAAATGCTAAGTTTATACTTCTCTGCCACCGCAATTTCCACCCTGCAAATAAATATAAAATTAGGAATACTTACGATTGGTGATAAGTAGGACTTAGAGGATCTCCAATGCTGAAATCGCAATTTTTACTCCGAGCCGTTATCTTCCGGCGCGAAACTTGACTTCATCTCATCGGATACGGATAACGTCAAGCGTTAGGCGGGTGACGTCATCAACTACGGGGCGCTGTAGCGGCCAATCGGCAGTGCAGCAGCATTCGAATTTATTAACCACTGTGAATTGCTCAGATAGATGGTGGGATGATGATGATTATTTGAATGTACGTTCTATTCACTTTTTTTTTTTTTTTTTTT